GAGCACCAATGAATCGGGAACTTAGAAATACGCCCGACTGTCGGACGACCCTCAGCATCCACGAGGGGCTCCCCGTCTGTGTCGACCACTGTGGTTTCCGATTCAAACAAGGAGTCCAAGGTGGTTTGGGTGACCGACTGCAACACATACCATTCATCTTTAAAGTCCCTTACCGAGTCCATATACATCCTGAACAACCTCTTCGACTGTTTCAGGGATACCCAGTTGTGCCTGCCTCCTCGAGACTGGCGCTACAGGTGAAAGACCCTGAAGAAAAGGGGAATCGTCGCCCTGATCCTCAAGAAATGGCACGTCAGCTCGAACGCCCAAAGGAAGGTGATCGAATTAGGATGAAGCTGCGAAGGGGCCAAGTTCAGATGGCTGAACACCCTGATTTGAAATTCGCTGAAGGGGAGCTTAAGACCGAGATCCCTGAACATGATCTCATACATTGGGAACCCGCTCAGTAAACTCCGAGAAGATACGTGCGTCAATCGGCAGCCTCATTACTATAAAATTCTTTTGAAAACCTGGCTGACTGCCGCCATGCTCAACGATAGTATAAGCACGCTGACTACGCCGACAGTACGCCGAGGCAATCCCCCGGGGCTCGGCACCCACCCAGTCCAACGTGGGGTCATCAATGGTGTCGACTAATGTAACATTCTCTTCAGTGCTTGTGTCCTCGACTTCATTTTGCCTCGAAGTTTCTGGATCGTCAGCCATTTACCTGCAAAGCACAGGAAACCGGTGAATTCGAGAGCAAATTCGCGTGCTCGCCACAGAAGCGGGGAGAAGTACACAACAAGTCGAACACGGACGCCCCAGCTCCGACCACGCGTCGAGGACAGCACGGGAGTAACATGAGCGCCCCGGGCGAAACATGAATCTCTCAAGCAAATTCCAAATGAAAACCTGCCCGACACTAGGATACCGCGAGGAGGCTACCCTACATACTTCCTAAAAGGATGAACATCCCGTCCAGTTCATGGGTGTGCCGACCAAACGCATGAATATCACGGGCAATATCATGAGTCATACGCCTAAAACTATGAATATCACGGGCAGGATCATGAGTCATACGCCTAAAACTATGAATATCACGGGCAGTATCACGAATTATGTACCTAAACTATGAGTTCCCCGGGCACAGTCATGAATCTACCGGGCACTACTCCCAGATATGGATTTCTAACATCAAAAATAACATCAAAACTACCTACAACAAAGAAAAACAGGAGGAACGAACACTTACTTGGAAGAAAAGAGGTACGTACAACGGCGGTGGAAGTAATCAACAGCGGTTGGTGCGGTGATCTCACGGTGTTGCAGGAAACGACGGCGGCGGAATCAGAGAAAGAGGGAGGAGCGCGAAGAAGAAAAACAAATTATGGGCCCAAGGGTCCTATTTATAGGGATGACGTGGAATATGAAACGTCACACCGGGGAGCCGCGAACTTCCCCGTCCTCGACATCTACTCCCCTAGGCAATGATGACCATATTTTTGCTAGGGTGGCGTTACGACTCCCAAGGACTGCCTCATGTATCCGACAAACGCAGCCCGCGAGGAATTCCTCGAGCACACATCGACAAGGATTGCCCTGCGTATCCGACGAACGCAGCTCGCGAGAAACTCCTCGAGCACGCTTCGAAAAACAAAAAGCCCTGGTCTGGCCATCAAGTTCCCACGATAAAAGCGAGCTAAGATCAAGTCATAACTCATGCACCAGGAGCAACGACTTGGGGGGCTCCTATTCTGGACTGGGCCCGCCTTGGCCCAAAAGGCAGATAAAGGCCCAAGTCCAAACAATTACTCGAGGAACGCTCACGAATGGACCATCACCGAACGTGCCCGACCACAGACTGCAGCTACTATGCCCGCCATTGCCCGCGACAAGCCGTGTCCCCGACCAAGGGAACACCAGCTCGAGCACCCTCCCCATAGGGAAGATTCTGTCCACCTTAACCGTTATAAGATCCCCTAAAGCTCCAGAAAGACCGCGTCTTCGTCCCTCCTTATTCTTCACAGAGAACCACCAGGAAGGGGACCACGTGTGGGGCCCCACTACACACGTAGAACCTGGAAGTTCCTTTATTGGGCCAGTTCTGGTCAGCCTAATGAGGGGACCTTGGCCCAGCGCTGGGGGCTATAAATACCCTTTGTTCCAAGAGGGTCAGGTATTCATCGATTACACACCTATACACCTTTTGCCTGCCTATTCCGTCTCTCATTTCAGCATCGGAGTGTCTTGCAGGTACCCCCCCCCCCCCCCCATCTCACTCAACCAGTTCGAGCCAGTTGTGACGGTCCAAGTCTGATCGAGTAAGATCAGGTAGTATGCAGGGTCAATTATGGATTTTTAAGGTTGTTCTCCAAAGTGGGCCATAAGCTCACTTATGTTATAAAAACCATAGTTGACAAACACACATGTGCTGGAATTTTAGACAACAAATCTGCAAGTTCAAGGTGGGTGGCTAAGACTGTGTTGAAGAAAATGCAAACTTTTATAATGTCGAGATCTGTGATGTAATTCAAGACTTGAGGCAAAATTGTTCTGTTGGAATCACGGTGGCTAGGGAATGGAAGGATAAACTCATAGCCAAGGAGATGCTTGAAGGAGATGCAGACAAACAACATACAAATTTAAGGAGATATGATGCAAAATTACATAGAGTGAATCCTGTGAACACTTTGAGTATCACTGTAGAAAGACCAAGTCCATCTATTCAGCCAATGTTTGGTTCCTTTTATTTTTGCTTTGATGATTGTAAAAAGGGTTTTATTAATGGTTGTAGACCCTTTGTTGGAGTTGATGGTTGTCATCTAAAAATAAAGTATGGGGGTCAGTTATTAATTATTGTGGGTAGGAACTCAAATGATCAGTATTTTCCTTTGGCCTTTTGGGTGGTTGAGACTGAAACTAAAGAAAGTTGAAGGTGGTTTCTTGAGTTGCTGATCACAGATGTAGGCCAGGACAAAGATTCGTGTTTATATCTGATTAACAAAAGATATACTTTTTTGTCATTAAGTTATATGTTATGCAGATTTTACTTTGCACTGATATTATGCAATGTTTTAGGGTTTGGTGGTTGTGTTTGGGGAGATGTTTGAAAGGATGGAGCATGGGCTGTGTTTAAGGCATCTTTATGCAAATTTCAAGAAAAGGTTTGAAGGTGGAGCTTTGATTAGAGATCTAATGATGGGGGTGCAAAGTCTACAAACTATCAGGGATGGTTACAAAATATGAATGAGTTGAAGCTGGCAGATCATAATGCTTGGACTTGGTTAATCAGTGTTCCTCCAAAGGTTTGGTGTGAGCATGCTTTTAGTTTCTACCCTAAGTGTGATGTTCTGATGAACAATATTTCTGAGTCCTTTAATGTCACCATATTAAGTATTAGAGATAAACCAATTTTAACAATGTGTGAGTGAATTAGGAAGTATTTAATGAACATATTCTCTACTTCTGCCATGAAGCTTAAAAAATGGCCTCATAAGGTTATTCCAATTCCTAGAAAAAGACTTGATAATGAGGTTATTTTTAGTGGTCAATGGCTGCCTACTTGGGCAATGGATGAAAATTTCCAAGTCACTCATTCCTATAATAGTCAGGAATTTATAGTTGACATTTCTAAGAGATCATCTACTTGTAATTTCTGGGATTTAGTTGGTATTCCTTGTAGGCATGTTGTTGTTGCTTTAGGTTTTAAGCAACAGAATCTAGAGGATTTTGTTGATCACTGTTATTATAGAGACAAGTATGCAATATGATATAGTTTTTATGTGAGTTCAATTAATGGTGAAGAAATATGGCTAGAAGTTCAATCAGAGAAGATTTTACCCCCTATGTACAAGAAAGGTCCAGGCAGACCAAGAAAGTTAAGGATAAGGGAGTGTGGTGAAGAGGGTTCTAGAAGGAGGAGATTGCCATGTGTTTTTTACAGATGCACTAAGTGTGACAAATTTGGTCATAATGCTCAAACATGTAAAAGCACAACACAAGATCCTAATGGACTAAAGAGAAATGTATGATAAATGTGTATTTTGAACTAACATATCATATATTTTGAACTAATAAGTAATGTGCTTTATTTTTTTAGAGGAAGGTCAAGGTAGGTACAACTGATGCTGTTTAACAAGTCAGTGAAACTGGTGCAACTGAGGCACCAACACAGACTGATGCAACTCAAACTGCAGCACAAATTAGTGCAACTCAAACCGCAATACACATTGCTGCAACTCAAACTTCAACATAAAATGGTGAAACTCAAACTGTAATACACACTGCTGCAACTCAAACTGCAACACAAACTAGTGAAACTCAAACTACATTAATTGAACTAGTTGACTATTATGGAGACATAACTGATGATTTCATTTCAAGCATTCCTGAGATCAACACAATACATTGTTCTGTTGTGGTTGGTAAACCAGACAAAAACTGCAAGACAAAAGTGAAAGAGGTCAAACCATTGAGAAAGAGGTCTAGTGAAAGAATAAAACTACAGTGGTTTCAAAAACCATTCATAGAGTCAGGTTCAAACCTCGAGCAACCTATATATTTGACAGAAGAATAAGGAAGTAGTTCTAAACATGCAATGAAGAAATATAAGAAGTAGTCTTATGTATGTACTTCTTATTTTGTCTATTTGATACTTTGGCATTAAGTTATGGTTTGTGTCCTTATGGTTTGTTAGACTGTTATACCCTTTTGTAATGACATTGACATTTTGTTCTACTTATGCCTTCATGTAATAACTCTTTTAGTATTGGTTTCAATTGATAAGGTTATTTAATGATTTCAACTGAGAATGCAATACTGTAAGAAAAATGAAACACTCTTATTGTATCAAAGTTGACATTAAACAAACATCATATTACATTGATGTAATTGACACCTCAAATTACAAATACTTGTACAACACTACAAATATATTACAAATACACATAACACTCCACTTCTGCAAAAAAAATTACAAATACACATTACACTTCAAATTATAAATAGTTGTACAACACTGCAAAGATAAACCAAGACATCAAAATTTCCACATTCAGTTGAAAATTTTTCCTCTTCAATGCAACTATCTTCAACTTGGATTTTTCCAGTTTCCTTTTTGTCAGTTCAAACTTCAATTTTGTCACATCACAGTGTTTGCAATAACTTTTAAAATTTGAGATTTCACTAATGAAGTGAGAAATTTCATCATCCCAAATAAACAGATCACAACTATTGACCACCTGCAAACAAAAACAACGTTAAACCCATAAAAGATTTAGGTGTTTCACAAAATTCATAGATTCAGGAACTTACCCCAGCATTCCTACATTTTAAGAATCTCCTATTACGATTTTTTACGGTGTTAGCAAACCACATCTTCATCAGACGATAACATCCACATCTAGGAACCTTTGAATGCTCGTACGAATTACAACTTCCAACACTCTTGTTAGTATCCTCCATTTGAACGGAGGGACAAAATCGAGATTCAAGAAACGATTTGCAGTGGAAATGGTTCAACACGGTAGGAAGAGAAGAAATGAGCAAGACGGTATGGACAAAAGGGGTACAGGAAACAATTTGCAATGGAAATGGTTGTGGAAATGATGGAAAGGGACAACAGACGAAGATGGTATCCTTAGACATAAACAGTCCAAAGTGGCATATAATTACTCAGTCAGCAAACAGTCACAAGCCACGTCTGCAACTCAAAGGGAATCTTGGACTATAAGATTTCTTGTTTTGGAATCTATATTTGTTAAGGGGCAAACAAATTTTTTTTTAAGATGGGAGTAAATTAAAATTCGCTACTATTGCAGTGGAATAAAGTGTATTTAACCCTTTAATTTATGTGTGTTGATGTGATAAAGATTAAAGGGATTTGGATTCTCTCATGTTTCCATCATACTTCAATCTCATCCATTGATTTATTTTTTTCTCTCTCTTTCATTTATACTATAAAATGGTAAGGATCTTTTTAAGTTTAACCAAATGTTTTCCAACTCAATCTTGAACACACAACAATGTTAATTTTTTTGAGGAAAAGTTTTACCGTCTATTATGGTCCACCCCAACTCAAGAGATTAATTTCTATAAATATGCGCAAAAGTTAACGAGTTCAAAATTAAAGAAAATAGTAGTAGTATCTCTTGACCATATGACTTCAAATATGATCACCACCTCATTCAATAGATATATCTTATTAATCCGCACAAATATTCATAGACATACTCCCTTCCTAACGGTTTATAAGCAAAAAAAACACACTTTTCTTATTACAATTTATAAATAAAAAACATTAGTTTAATTTCATTTAGATATCTTTTTCTCAAAATACATCTTTTCTAATGGAAAATTAAATACAAATTGCATTAAATATATTTTCTCTCTCATTTTTTCTATAAACAACAATCAATTGGAATTGTTTTTGCACCTTTCCATAAAATATATTTTAAAAAAGACATAAAATTTAAATTTTCTTAATAAATGTGAAAATTTGACTTTTACTTATAAATCGGTTATAAGTCGGTTACGGAGGGAGTAAGTATTTTTGTCATCCTAACTAGAAAGAGGCAGCTACATGGTACCATACTAATAATTTGTGTGCTCATAAATAGGTGGTCCAAGTGAGAATGAAATGAGTTTGTTGTTAGAAAGGTATCTCCTCCTTGTTTGAGTAGGGTTAGAAGGGTCAAACTTTTAGTTGTTGATATTGGAATATAATGGAAATTTATTGGTAGGAAATTAAATTGATCTATAATCTACATCATGTAACTATGTCTAGCCTTTCTCATGTAAGGACCATAATGGATCCTTTCTGTGGGGTTTTGAAATTAATCTAGGATTTGATTCACATGGTTAAGCATATACCACAAATATACACTTCTAAAACTTAACAACAGATCTACATTTGTCAAAACAAAACAGATTCCAACAAATATAGCATAGCAGATTTTCTTCAACAACAATTTATACAGCACCTCATCCTATGCCATCCCGTGAAGATATGATTTACAAATGGCCATTAATTAGTTCCAAATATTGTGAACCTGTAATCTAAAAGAACTTATGAGCCAATTATTAGTTCAGCGATGAATTGATCTTCTTCGTCCTTCCTTACTCTGGAACACTTGGACAAAAAGACTTTGGTTTTGTGGCATTTTAGCTACCACAAACCCAATCAATCAACATAGTTTCACATGTTTCATGTTGAGCTTCAATTATACAGCTTGAGGATAAGCTAAAATTCCTTGGTCAAGTCCTTGTTTTGATCTTCATTTTGTTGGTTCAAGACGAGGAAAGACATTTAGTCCTTAAAGTGTCCAAAATAATTAGTATGATTGGGAATTTTAAATTTTCAAGTATTACATAGAAATTGCAAGTTTAAAGAAACAAATTTGTTACAAGTCATTTCCTAGGAAGCAAAAGCAACCCCATCTTTTCGCACAACAAACTTCCTCTCCATTAACCATAAACAATGCATTCAAGAACCATGTCTCATCTTCTCCAACCGCCACAGCAAAGTAGAATCAAACTGTAGAAGTGGAACTGCCAGCGACTACTTGCCATTGGCCATACCCACAGCAGCACTTCTCATCTTCACACAAACCTAGACACCAACCCACCACAATTTCTGTCCTTGTTTTAGTTTCTCCATCAATCTTTTATTTTATTTTATATATTATTGGTTGCACTTACATAACCATAACCAATAGTACACATTACCAAGTCATATGTATTTCTGATACTTTAAACCCTTCGGCTTGTGAATTTGGTCTTAAACTGTATTAACACTTTTTTAACATGGTACAGTACTTAAATTACAGATGAAGCCTGTCTCTTTTTCATTCTAAACAAACTGGACGCTTATATAGGCTTCTTATCAGCAAAGCTAGGCGTAAAGTATTTGTTACTAAAGTACAAGTAAAACTAAATTCACTCCTCTGGTGTTGCTACCCATGATGGAAATTATTAAGCAGAATTGCTTTTATAGAATAATTATATCATCAAGAACAGAAGATGCAAACCAAGTAATCACCATATTCGGTTGAGTTTAGACTTCTGACGGAACTGCTTCTTTGTTGTACACCAAGGGGCAGGAAATGTGCTCAACTGAACATAATTCACAAACAGTCAGCTCTAATAAGGCACAAACTATTTATATTATATAACCATATATAAGCTGACACAAAGCTGTTAATGAATATCTAGTCAATTCCATTTTTTAGAAAGTTTCAATAATCAAAATGTTTCAACTTAATCAGCATAAAAGTGAGGTCCGGTAGAGCAAGAAAAATGTGAATGTTTTTAAAAGAGTTAGTGGATAGCTCACACTGCCAATAAGCTTTGCACCAAACCATGCAGTATCCGCACCATGTGGAGGAGGGATGACTCTGATTCCATTTGACATATGAGGAAGTAACAAATGCAGTTCCTTCTCTAACCTTTCTGAAGCATATGATCCCAAAGGTGGAGTTAGAAAATGGTAGCCCATAACAGGGGTATTTTGTGTCGTGGTTTCAGCTCATCTGTATGCTCAGATGCAAAGATGAAAAGTGCCAAAATATAAAAGAGACATTTACCTGCTAAACCTGGTAAACATGCAGAACCTCCTGATAAGACAATGGTCTTAAACCAATCACTGCCGCCTGCTAACTCTGCAGAATAGCAATGGTCGATACAGAGAGCTGTGGCTTGGTGCAAACTCATTGCTCGACTATATCAAAGTGTAGAAAATATGGTTAAGCTAGAAAAACATAAGCAAATAAGACGAAGAAGGATCAGAATCAATTATTATACTGCATGATTTAGACGGTTATAATTGTATCTTTGTGTGTCGAATATGATCACACAAGGTGTATACTTATATGCAAATAGTTAATGTACAAAAGGAAACAAAATCAATTACAGTAATTACTAATTGAATATCAATCAATCCTAATTGATTGATAACGGATTCTTAACACTCTCCCTCAAGCCGGATCGTAGATATTGTATGATCCGAGCTTGTTACAAATATAATTCACTCGAGAACCCTTGAGAAACTTGGTAAACATATCACTCAATTGGTCTTCAGATTTGACAAATTTTGTGGTTATTTCTCCTGACAGTACCTTGCCTCTTACATAGTGGCAGTCTATTTCTATGTGTTTGGTCCGTTCATGGAAAACCGGATCGGACGCAAAGTGCCGCTTGATTGTCGCATTTGATTTTTGTGGTTTGAAGGTCACCGAACTTAAGTTCTGAGAGCAAACTCTTAAGCTATGCAAGTTCTTTTGAGGCTGCTGCCATAGCACGATATTCAGCTTCAGCACTAGATAGTGCAACTGTGTTTTGTTTCTTGCTCCTCCATAAAATCATATTGCTTCCAATAAGAACACAATATCTAGAAGTGGATCTCCTATCCGATGGTGATCCTGCCCAGTCTGCATTTGAATAACAAATGATTTCAGCATCGCCCTTATCTCCATATAATAGGTTTCTTCCTGGTGCATTCTTTATATATCTCAGAATCCGAATAACTGCATTCTAATGAGTATCACAAGGAGCATTCAGGAATTGGCTCACAATGCTCACTGCAAAAGTAATATCCGGTCTGGTGACGGTAAGATAATTGAGTCTACCCACTAGACGTCAATATCTTCCCGGGTCTTTCAACAGCTCCCCCTGACCCGGAAGAAGTTTGACGTTAGGATCCATAGGAGTATCAATCGGACGATAATCAATCATACATGTTTCAGTTAGGATGTCTAATGCATACTTACGTTGGTTAATTGCAATGCCTAATGAGGATTGAGCAACTTCAATACCTAAGAAGTATTTGAGTGGATCCAAATCTTTTGTCTGAAAGTTTTTGAAAAGATGAGTTTTGAATCGATGGATACCCTCTGTGTCGTCTCCAGTGATAACAATGTCATCAACATAAACCACAAGAAAAATACGCTGACCGGTGGAAGAGTGAAGGAAGAAAACAAAGCGATTTGCTTCACATCTAGTCATACCAAACTGTATCAAGGCAGAGCTGAAGCGACCAAACCAAGCACGTGGAGACTGTTTCGGCCCATAAAGAGATAGATGAAGCAGATAAACAAGGCTTGAATTACCAGGAATAGTAAAACTGGGAGATTGATCCATATACACTTCCTCCTCCAATTCTCCGTGTAAGAATGCATTTTTAATATCCAACTGATGAAGCTACCAATGATTAATAGCAGCCATTGCAAGGAAGAGACGGACTGAACTAATCTTGGCTACTGGAGAAAAAGTGTCACCATAATCAAGGCCAAATATCTGTGTATCCCTTTGGCGACTAAACGAGCTTTAAAACGATCAATCTGACCGTCTGGTCCAACTTTCACTGTATAAACTCATCGACATCCCACTGTAGTTTTGTCTGAAGGCAAAGGAGCAATGTCCCAAGTGTTATTTGAATGCAATGCAGCCATTTCTTCTACCATCGTCTGACGCCAATTGGGATCAGTCATAGCTTCACGTGTAGACTTAGGAATAGACACAGAATCCAAAGCAGACACAAAAGAAACATAGGAAGTAGAGAGACGGTCATAATTTAAAACACAACCATATTTAGGATTTGGATTATGAGATCAAATACCTTTTCGTAATGCTATCGGAAGGTCAAATTCAGATGACGTAGCTGGAGGAACGGTTGGAGTAGGAGATGGTGTTGGTGGATCAATATCATCTCTAACTTCCGATGGACGCGGTGTGCGTCGCTAATATACCTGCAAAGGAGGTTTAATGGGTGTGGGGATGACAGAAGAAATATCTTGATCATCTAAATTACAAGTCTCATCCGGTGACGAAGAGACAGAGAAAAAAAGGGGAACCTTCAAAGAATGTAACATTGGAGGAGATAATATACCGTTGAAGTTGAAGACAAAAACAACGATATCCCTTTTGCATACGTGAGTAACCTAGAAAAACACATTTGAGAGATTTAGCGGAAAGTTTGTCTTTACCTGGACTAAGATCATGAACAAAGCATGTGCAAACAAACACGCGAAGGGGAATGGGGTAGAGATCATATTGCGGATTCAAGATAGAGTATGGAATCTTGTCTTGAAGGACCGATGAAGGCATTCGGTTGATAAGGTGACATGCCGTGAGGAGAGCATCACCCCAAAAACGAGAGGGTACATTATGGTGAAGTAAAAGAGTCCGTGCGGTTTCAACTAAATGACTATTCTTCCGTTCAGCAACACCGTTCGGTTGTGGTGTATGAGCACATGATTGGTGAATAATTCTCTGTAATGTTAAAAAAGATTGAAACTGGGATGACATATATTCACGAGCATTATCAGTGCGGAATTTTTTAATGGAAGTGTTAAACTGGTTTTTAATTTCAGCATAAAACTCTTGGAAGATACGGAAAACATCTGAACGGTTTTTCATTAGAAATAACCAAATGCATCATGAGTAATCATCGACGAAAGTTACAAAGTAATAGTATTCTAAAGTAGACTTCACACGACTAGGACCCCAAATATCACAGTGAACTAAAGTAAAAGGTGATGCAACACTTTTATTTACTCGTTGACAATAAGTATTACGAGTATGTTTTCCTAATTGACAGGACTGACACTCAAAAGACGAAACTTAGAAAGACTAGGAACTAAAAGGCGCATTTTATTAAGACTAGGGTGACCCAAACGTTGATGTGCGAGTTCTGGAGAGGCAATAGAAGCACATGCCACTGGTAGAGAAAGATGATATAATCCTCCAGCTTCACTCCCTGCCTCAATCGTCTGTTTTGTACGTCGACCCTAGATATAAACAGAATTATCATTAAAAAGGATTGAGCAATCAAGAGTACGAATAAGCTTGTGAACAGATATTAGATTAAAGGGACAGCCAGGAATGTAAAAGACAAACTCTAAAGACAAGTTTGGAAGTGGATGTGCCTGACCAAGGCCTTGAACTTTGATTTTAGAACCATCCGCCACAATAACTGAAGGCAAGGAATCAGAATAAGACAAGTGAGATAAAAGAGATTTATTACCAGTTTAGAGATTAGTTGCTATGGAAAACCATAACACAGTGCATAAAGAAGCATCGATTCGTTTCCACTTAGCGCATTTGACGGCGGGAATAGTATCGGCTTTTGTAGTCAAGTGGTCCTCATATCCCTGACCGTGAAACCACGTCTTGACAACACCGGCCCATATGTTGTAGTTGGCTGTTCCGGTCAGTTTCTCACACAGAATAAGTGGAACCTTAGTGAACGTGACGGAAACAGTATCTCCCATGATATTTGATGGCTTTGAACGAAAAATCGAGAGCAGATTTGGAAAGAGGACCAGAAAACGAGTCCGGCGAGAAAAACGGCGGCGGCAGGGGGAGGAGGACGCGCGGCTGGAAGTTGGGCACGTGAGATTCACGCGCAGGTGCAGAGGAGGCGCGTGAGGGCACGTGCGGCGGCGTTTTTGGATTCCGGCCGATCTGGAGGAGACGGTTTCGGCAGTATATGTATTGCGCCGGAAAGTCTTCAGGAGCAGCGGCGACCGCGGCGGCAGTGCGGCGCTGTGGGTGGCCGGAAAAAAAAAAGAATTTTATGGAAGACAGTAGGTCAACCAGCTCTAGATACCATATTATTATTGTATCTCTGTGTGTCGAATATGATCACACAAGGTGTATATTTATATACAAATAGTTAATATACAAGAGGAAACAATATCAATTACAGTAATTACTAATTGAATATCAATCAATCCTAATTGATTGATAACGGATTCTTAACATAGACAATTATCACATATCACAATATCATTAAGTAATGTATGATTTAGGTTCATTAGTTTTCAAATGAATTAAATGCCTCCAGAAGAATATTACCAAAGTTGTGTAAAGTTTAAAATTAGTATTATCACCTTATTCTAGTAATATGAAAAATGCGACTAATTATTGAACATGGTTTGAAATTGGAAAGAACAAAAAAGAAAAGAAAAAAAGGTCATCAAGCAAAACAGCTAAATAATGGCACACATGAGTATAATCTCTGAAGAAAATCCGTATACAAATATGTTGTAACAATATTGGAAGAAGTACAAAAACTTACACCCCAGCAAGACGTGGCTGGAATAAGATCTCTCCTGTTTGAAACCTCTCTTTCGAGAGTGAATACCTCCCTTCAACAGCTTCAAATGATGCTTGTGTATCTTTCAATAGCTCAGCTTCATAGTCATAGGCCACATAGCATAGCTTCTGTTTCCATGTAACCAGATATATCAGGCAACCACATTAATATGATTTTGAAGTGACGTAAAAATTTATGCAAGGAGCACGCTCATGAGAACCTCAAAAAATGGAGCTAAACTTCGCAATTCAGAAACACAAATTTATAGAAATTTGAATGTCTAACCAACCTTGCCCTATAGGCCCCAAAACTTGTTGACCTAATGATCTCCCTGTATTTTTTCCCTTTGATTATTTATAGCTTGCTAAATATTTTTAACCAAATACTTACTACTGATGGAGACCTCCTACCATTGACTCTCACCCCACTTATTAACGAGATCAAAGTGTACCATCAATTTTCTGAAGTGTCTAAATAATCAATCTCTTGGACACTCCCCTTGTTGAACCCATGAAAGTAGAGTTGTCAACTTAGATTGCCAGGTCAGAATTCAACCAGACCAGCCTTAGAGCAGGCTAATAAATTGTTGAGCCAGCCTAATCCTGTGAAGGCTAAGGGCTATTTGGGTTGACTGTTGGTCAACATTTTCTTCTTTATTCTTTAAAATGCAAAACAGACAATCTTTTTATATAATTTATTGATTAACTTGTAATTGAAGACATTTAACGAATTTCAATTAATCATGACTCTAACAAGTGAATGTTTGTTTTAAATTGACATTAGAGTAACTTAAGAAAGATGTACAACACAATTAAGTTGTTGATTTTGCCATTTTTGGGGCTTGCAAGTGAGTCTGTTTTAAGCTGGGCTCAACTATGTTGACATGATTCAATCTATTCATCTGTCCGGTTAGTTGGGCCACTACTGAGACAAGAATCCAGCAGACATCCTAACAAAACATCCCTGACCAAGTTTTGAAATACTGGCCGACAAGCTGGTAATAACCAACATCCATTTTTCAGCTTAAGGAGAGTGTTGCCAATGTCAATATCAGGCCAGTTGATAGCTCAGTGACTGATTGCGAACATATCTATCAGGAGTAAATTTAGGGATTCTGTTTCTTATTGGGCTCAAATTTGTTCTATGGTATCCCTCCCTGATAATCAGGGCTTGTTTGATTTGAAGGAACATCTATTTCATTTCTTGTTTTCATTGCCTCTCATGTTACCTCGATGTACAAAGGAAAGGGTTTTCATGAGGGTGATGATCAATTTCATAAAAGGCTGACGAGTGACAACAACGAAAAACTGCCATTTTCGTCCAACAAGATGATGTGGTGGTGGAAACCACAGCATCTTTCCATAATCAACAAATATAAAACCATTTTTCAACCATAAAGAAACCAAATGATTTGGCTTTGATGCTTAAATTCCTAAAGCCTCCTTTTCACTGATTAACTTCTTGGCAAAATTATTTAAAAAGGAGGTGTGGGATAGAATGATGAACTTTGTCAAAAACCAAATCAACTTTGAAGCTTAACTTATTAAAACGGATGCCTGGTTTTCATATCTCTCATAAATATTGCATACCAGGAACCGAGACACGTGAAGCTTCTTTAGAAGAAAGCAAATATTGTGACTAGATTAAGAGATGTTTTAGCTAGAATGAAATTCATAAGCAATGTAAGGGTCCACTTCTGTCCTCCCAAGTACATTTGTGGCATAAAATATAGGTAAATTCTCATCAAATAAGAATTTCAAAACAAAAAAAGACAACGGCAATACCTCTTTCAGTGTGCGAACTGTGTACAAAGATTCAAAATTTAAGCTGTTTTGTTGCATTTTCTCTCTAAGAAATCCTGTAAGTTTTAGTGCTCCCAGCCCCACAACTTCCACACCCACCTTTCGCATCACTTTACCATTTAAAACTGCAAAGCAACAGTGCGTATATGCTCAATCAGGGGAGAAAACAGAAGAGATCAACAATAAACTCATTGACTTCAGAGAAAAGTATAATGTTTATATTAAAACACAAGAGGTGATGTTTAAGTGTTGACTACTTCTGAACCCGATTATGCAAACCGACTTAATGGAAATCACATTCGAAAACCCAACTAACTAACAAAAGATGCATTTAGTGATCAAAATAACAAACAAAATACACGTCCGAAGATGTTTTAGTAATTTTGATACATCAAGGGACTATATAATGATAGCAGCTCACACATTCAAGGACCAAAATGATTGTTTACTCAAAAGAGAAACTAGTTCCGGCTAGGAGTAGTTAGCTTGTTAGTTAGACAAAATTAGTTACCTAATAAATAGGAGGGATCAAGGGTAGAGGGAGATCATTAAGATTTGTTAACATTTGATGATTTAAGTGACCAGAGCGGTGGCTCAAAATTTTGGAGTAGAGATTCTCAGTATTCAACATAATTGTTCTCTTCTTTTGATTCTTTCTATCAATTTTTCCACATTCCTAACGGTTCATGTGTTATATGCAATAGATATATTGTCAAGCAAAATTAAGAATTCTATGAGAGAATAAAATCATAAAGCATACTTAGAACAATTCTTGTATTTCAAGCAACAGATGTTTAGTTAAGCATAATTAGGAGTTGCATGAGAACAAAATGATAAAGCATACTTGGAACTACAGATGTGACTTGAAAGCCTATATTAACAGATATTCCAGAAGTTTGTTTTGCAGCATACAGAGCTAAAGTTGCCTACACTTACAAAATAGAAAACAAATAAGTTAACCAAATATAGTAAAAATAAGTGCAGCACAAAACTAAATAAAAGAACAAAATTTGATATTTACTCATTGATTTAAAAGATTTTGATCTTCAACCATCTTTCTCTCTTTACAATTTAATGCCTTTTCGGTTTACTGCTGAACAACAAGATTCTTCCCAATTATATTAACTAATTTTTGCTGAGTGATTTGAACAAAATAATTTCAAATTTCATTTCAAATAGGAAACTGTGTTAGGGATCAAGAGCAGGGAATACTCGTTTAAAATGGTGCTAGTACCTAAATCGTTTTTATGTCTGTTTTTTTAAGCTAAAATTTTCCATTTATGTCTCTTCTAATTAACTAAATTAAAGGTGGAAGAAAATGGATCATCCAAGTCCAACACTCAGATCCAAATCTTATTTTCATAGGTTAAAAGTTAAGTGGTAATAATATTTTTGCTCCCACTAAAATATGCTACCTGGTTGAGAGCACAAACAGCGGGAACATTCAAGTCAAATAGAGCAGCACAGATTGCTTCTTTAAGCTGCTGTCTTGATGCTCTAGCTGATTCGGTATCTGCAATGAAGAGAGCGATCATTAAATGGCTAGAAATAACATATACGTATACTCTTAGAACTGTGGTTGGGCCTAACTCAACCTTACAAAAGCGGTTCTTGAATTATATGAAATTCAGTAGACTTGATCTACCTAATATGAACTTTAAAGTCAACAATGTATAGCATACGCAAGCACACACACATATATAATCATTTAGTTCTTTTGAAGAAAACTGCATGGGAAGTGCAGCAGCATAATTGACTTTGACATGGTTAAAGCAAAACCTGTAGTGGTTTCTTATTGTGCTTAACTACACAAATAATCATAATTCATACAGTTATGAAGGTAGACAGACCAAGCATTTTCATTTATCAATTTTCACCTAATAACTTTTATTTTCAAAGCATATAAATTGAGGTGTTTATTAAACCTGGTTAAGGTTTGGCACCCGGTAATGTATCCAGATAAAATTACTCGTATTTCAAAAATTATATACAAATTAGTTCTTAAGAAAGCAATCCACTGGCTTCCCTAAAATTTTGATAGAGTAAACCCCTAAATTGGCCTTTCTAAACATAGTGTCGCCGCATTATTCACTAAAGAATGAGTCACCCAATTATTCCTTGAAGATCTAATTTACAAAACATACCACATGTGTCTTATGTAGGACGGAAGGGTTTACTCAACATTGATCCACAAATAACACAAGTAAATTTAATTGTCAAATATGAAAAAAATTAACTAACCATCATAGTGGCATAATGGTAAAGAAACAACAACTGCTTGAGAACTGGGTTTCACCTTCATCCTGCAGAGAAAGCAACCAATATATCCTTACCATTAGACATAGAATTTGCTCATGGCATACACAAACGTGTAACCAGTAGAAAAAAACTACCCTTTCCACAACACCATTACTACCGTTTCCCTGGAAAAAATTTCTTCACCAACAAGAAGGAAAAGCCCAGAATGATTCACCTGCCATAGACGGTCCCAAAAAAATGTCGAAGCCTAGTATATATAGGTGTCTCCACGTTACCGAATTCCTGCAGATGAAATTCCCCAAAAGTCATAACTAAAAGGAAACTGTTAAAACAAAGATAAACAAACAAATTTTTGAATTTGAAGAGAAATAGTTTGAACATGATCAAATAAAGTTATTGATAAATACTAAAAAGAAACATTACAATAAATAACAAAAGCATATGTAAAATAAGCATCTTTGTCTCAATACTTTTAGAAAGCTCGCCATTATCATTATCTTTTATTTTTAGGAAAAATATATTTGGTGAGGCATTCCCATATACAAGGTCAAGAAGATCATCAACCTCTGTAAGGATTTGAGTGAAATTTTCATAACGCCTATCAACGATGTTATTTTCTATTTGAACCCAAGTCATAGTAAGCACAGGTGAAAAATCGAACCAGATGGATCAATGTTAGTTAGTACTGAGTAGGTACTTTTGAATTAGAACTTAATAACTATTCCCACAGTTTAAATTTTTTGCTCAAAACATCCAATTATATACTTCAACGGATGTTGTAGTAAATGTTATTAAATATAAAAACTTAGTTATAATTCAACTCCATAAGTTACAGACTTTATCCTAAATGATTATAAAGAAAAAATTAATTAAGAAGTTAGACACGGCAAACACTTCCAAACCTTGTAAAATTGTGGCTCCAGTTGAACCATATAATCTTACCAAAAAGGTAGGAGTTCGCCCCAATGGACGCTCCTCTTTGCTCCAACCAAATTTGCAATAGCCAGAACCACCTAAACGTAGAAAAAATTTGCATCATCTGATATGAAGCACCGACACAAAGAAAATAGGCTAAATCATAGAATTCAAACATGAGGTAGTTACCGTCGATGATAACAGCAGGGGGAAGGCGTTCCCGTTGGCCATAAACATGCTTAAACGACAAGACGCGTGGCGTCTGAGTAACAAAGAATCTGAAATCCAAGTGAATTAAACACAATTACCAGTAGTTAGTAGTTACGGTTACGGTTACGGTTGTTGAATTGTTACTTACGGAAGAGGATAACCAGAGGTTAATTTAGTTTCAGAGAAGATAATGGAATCGTAGTGTAGAGGTTGGTGATTCTGAAGGAAATGGTTCCAGAGTTGGTTATCGGAGACAAGAGATCGCCATGATTTGCAAACGATGCAGAGTTTAGCGGCGTGTTTAGGGTCTAACAGTCGTATGATTTTGAGGAGTAAGTCAGAAGGGAGTGAGTCGAATAAACCTAAAGGAGCGTGTCGCTCTGATGAATTGGAGGTGGCTGTTGTGGTGGTGGTGGATCGTTTCAACGATGCTGCAGATTCGCGTAGTTTTCTGAATAGCGTGGCCATTATTGATATTGAAGTGAAAGTGAAAGAGGAATGGAGTTAGTTATTGTTAGGACTTTAGGAGTGGGAAATGGGAAAAGAAAGAGAAAAGTCTTGCGTTGAACATTGCCCGCCACTATTTGTCGCATTGCAATTGGAGATACTTGCTACTTGCTACTATATGATTCTCATAGTGACACAACACAATGATGACTAATTCAAAATGTTTATAAACAATTTCAAACTATCATTTTTTACCAGCTTTAGTTTGTATCTACAGTAAATTTCAAAAAGATGACAAATTCAAAATGTTGTTATATCGTAACAACAAATATAAATGTTTTAGTTGCCTTTGGTAAGTTTGAAATGTCCTTATTCCTCTATTATTGGTTTGATCTCTCTTTGGGTGTCTATCTGAACAATAATTGTCTTTTCGTGCAAATGTAATGTGGGATGAAGTGAGGGTTTGGGTCCTAAAGTGGGGAATATAACAGCTAAGTGTGGTGATACGTTCTTCTTCTTCTTCAGACCCCCTCGAAATGTTACTCTTTTGAGTTTGCAAACGGATCTCGGGTCTCGTCCTTGTCTTTATCTCAACTGCCAAGACTCGGTCTTCGATTATGACTAGGCATTTTTTGCCAATCTCTCTGAACAAGCTCTAAAGAAAGAGTTGTACATTCAAGCGATGTCTGCTAAGTGGGCTTCTGTTGCTCTCACTCTAAGCGGGCATGGGAGTTGGGAAGCCCTTTGGACGGATCGGGCATGTGATGAAAAGCGTTAACTAGAGATGAGTATCAGCAGCTTGACTTTCCAATGGGATACATATTTAAGACACTGCAGAATATTTCCACCTCATTGCAAGAGGTAAGCAAAGCATGGCTCCATTCAATTTTCTCTGTACGGCGGATAATGAGGTGATGCACCTGGCGAGAATGATATAGAGGAAGACTAAGGCTCTTGTTTCTGCCCAGAAGGAGTTGGAGTTTCTGCGCAGTCAAAATGCTTCTCTAAACCAAAAATTGAAAAAATGTGCTTTTGTGAGCCTTGGGGCGCTCACAAAATCTTTGAGAATGTGATGCAGCATGTGAAGCATTTCCATCATCTACTGGTTGTTTCGAGGGAGCAGATTTGGCATGGTCATATACTTTTAGATGGGTAGATCGTCTCGGTTCTCGAATAACCTCTTGTACTCCGGCCCCATTTTTTAGCTTTTGCGCCTTAGCTTATAAACAATACTTTATTTTTTCATATTAAAAGTGCAATTGTAATACCTGAATTCTAGATTAATTATTTATTTAATTAATTTAGTTTGAATATATAAGTCATTGTGAAGTATTTGATATATACGATGTTTTGGTGTTTATATATGAGTCCTTGTGACGATTTGTGATATTTCGATGAATATGAGGTATATTATGATGTTAAGATGAATATGGTATTTAATATGATGACTTGTGCAGTGTATGATGGGATAATAAGATATGTTTAGAATTTAAATAATTAGTAGGAATTATTTAGATTTAATAGTAATTATTTAGAATTATTTGGATTAAATAAATAGAATAGTGGTGTAGAGAAAATAAGGGCAAGATAATCATTTGGGAAGAATAAGTGAGGACAATAGTAGAATACCAATTAAGGGTTTAAGGGTTAAGTGAGACAAAAGAGAATTGGGATTTTAGAAGCGCTTATTTTGTACGATAATTTTTAGGAAAGGAGTAAGAGGCAGAGCAAAAGTTAGGACACTGAAAGGCAAAGAGGAATTGTAGAACACCAGAGGAATCGGAAGCTAGCAATAATATTAAGGTAAGGGGTGTTTATCATTGTTATTATAATTGATCTAAGGTCAATATAAATGTAGGTTGTGTTGGGTTTTGGTGATTTGATGGTTGTGTTGAAATTGATGAATTTGTGTTGGAATTGGTGTAAATACCTTGTAGAATTGTCATGAGTTTGTGTATATAATGCCTATAATATTGTATATATATTATATGATGATTAGGTGTTGAAATCTATGAGGATTGAGACTCTTTTTGGTGCAAAATTGGAAGAATTTGGATTAGTTTTAGCAAGAAACCGCAACAGGAAAACCTTGTTCGCGCAGGATCGTCGGGTGATGAGGTATCATCATCGGGCGACGGAGACGCGCTTGGCCGTTGCTGAAAGAGCCAAGAGGTGATGAGGGGCGGAAAAGATGGATGTTACTGGAGTGTGTCGCTCCAAGCGTCATCGGCGAAGCGGATGCGAAGGGTGTGTCGCCAGGCGATGAATTGGTGTCGTCGGGTGATGGTGTCCAGAATTGAAGGGTTGTGAAAGATTTTTCAGAAGGCCATAACTTGAGTTTTAGAACTCGGTTTGAGGTGTCGTTTAAAGCATTGGATAGCTAATGCAATGAAATTCAATTAGATGAAATAAAATGAATAATAAGAAGTATATTACCAATACCTAAGTTAGGATGAAGTTAAGTTTCCCATGTTGAATTACAATAATGCTTTGTTTATTATGATGATATGATGATGTTTTGTTTATTATGATATTATGATGATGGTTTTTTATAGTATGATTATATTATGATGTTATGATGATGTTTTGTTTATTATGATGATATGATGATATTGTGATGAATTTATGGATGATTATATGTGTTGACTAGTCGTGGTCGTGTTTATATGTTGTTGTGCATCATGCATTCATGGAATAACTTTGGACTTCGGTCCACTGATGTTGTTAGGACTTCGGTTCAGTGATGATGATAGGATGATAGTCTAGTGAAGGCATCAATGCCATAGTGTGGATTGAGTGCAATATTATAAGTTGCTCTAGTTCCAAGTGGGAATCGATCCTATTGGTGGAGATCTTTGGAGAAAATGATGATTGAATCATTAGTGAAGTTTTGGTACCATATACATGAGTCTATGATGTTGCATTACATTCTATGTGACTGTTAACTGAAGATTTTGATAATGTTATTTAGAAGCCAAAAGAATTAAATGTTCTGATCGAAATGGAATTAAACGCTATATTTCGAAGTTGCAGAAGCAGTGTTTCGAATAAGTGTGTCAAAGCTTGAAGCTTCGAACGACAATTATGGGAACATATCCAAAGGAGTCTCGAAACAACAGCGAGGCTATGTTTGGGAAAAGCGTTCGAAACGGAGAAACACCAAAGCATGTTAAATTCAAATGGAAGCGGGACTTTCAAAGTTTGAAAGTTATGTGTTGGAGCATTTGGGGACACGTGGAAAGATGAAAGAAGCATTGTCTTGCATGTTCGAAACGTGGCATAATCCTATGGCAAGACCGTTAGGGTCGAATTAGTATAAATAGGAGTCTTAATATTAGGATTTCTGTGTGTCATATCTATTATACAAAATACTCAATAACATTCAAACTACCACATGGCAAGGGAAACGAATGCAAGAGAAATGTATGTATGATAGCACCATGTATTTCTAATTTAGTGAAAACCTTTTTACCATTTCCAGTACTTCCTTTATTCTTTTTGTCAAACAACATTTACAAGTTTTCTTATTCACAGCCTTTTTACTTCGAAATCTCTTCCTCAAAATCTTACACTTTAATGTTATCTTTATGTTTCAAGCGTTTTATATTTCTGAAAACCATCACATTTTCCATACCTTTACATTCAAGTCTTGCCCTTCGAACGCATAATTTTACTTAAATCATTTATAGATTTCTTGCATTAAACGTTTTCTCCTTCTTTTAAAACTTTTATGTTCCAGAAACCCTTTATGTTAACCGTTTTTGTAAGTCGAAACCATTTCACTTCATTTTCATGCAGTTTTATATGTCTTTACAATTCAGCATTACAATTAGCATCTATTCGTGTAACTTAGTTTTTATACACATTTTGATTACATCTTTAGACTCTTAGAGAGAGAAATCGAAATAAGCCAAACACTTATACAATATTGACCATGAATATTTGTTCGATTGTAAGAGTAACTTTAATATCCAAGGAGTCCTAGGATCAATCTAGTCGATCCTGTGAGTTACCAGAGGGATTGAATAACAGTAAGAAAGATTATTCGATAGTTTGGAAGACTAGCGGTTGTTTACCAGAAATCACTGGAAACAAATTGGCACACCCGGTGGGACCAATAGTTGGATATCAGAATTAAGGATTGTCGAGACGTAACCATTACAAAAACGTTGGAACCTGAGAAGTTTGCTGTTTTATGAACCTGAGAAGTGGTAAGATAACCAACAGCAACCAACCTTTATCCAGAAGAAAACGTTTGGACAAAATGTCTAATTCAGACAATCAACAAGGGGACCAAGGTGGCCCACATGCAACAGGCACTAACGCGTCCATTTCGAGCGGAACATCTAATGCAATCCCTTCGAATGCACAGTCTGTTGCATCTTCAACCAGTAACACAGCCACCAATGGAATAAGTGGCATATCAACTAATAGTTCGATCTTAAGAAATACCGGAACTATGGGCTACCCTGGGGGATTCGTTCCACCACCAGAGACACAATCCCACTTCGCCACCCCATTAACTAGACCACCCGGTTTCGATGGGAATAGAATCAGAAATTCCTCTTATGGAATGCCAACATCTTTTATGGCAGGTTTACACAATTCCACATCGAATTCATCTCCCCAACTAGGGTCTGGGTCTGGTGCGAATCAGTTTATGACAAATAACCAAGGGTCAGTGGGTTATAGCACATTGCCTATCCTAACCACAGATAACCAGTTGGCTTTTAGGCAATTGATGGATGACAGTAACCATAATATGATAGGGGTATTAGCGCAAACCATGCAGGAAATATTTTCCCCAATAGTGCAGAATGTGACTGTGACGAACAGGGAAAACGCTGATAATATGAGTCGAATAGCAGATTTCTTTGCTCCTACAGAAAGGCGTAGGCAGAATCAGGCGGGATTTCGAACAAACGTGCCTGTTATAGAACAAGTTGCTAACGACCCAATTTATAGACCACCCAGAGAAGAAGTTAACTTAGGGGCCAGGGCACCAAGATTAGAAGCCCCAA